AGTCGAAATGTTTATCACAATAATTTCACATTATCTGCTTCAATTTGAATATTCCAACTTTTTTTGTAACAGTTTGGATATCTGGTTGGTATACATAGGACACGAAAATTTCAAGAGCTCAAATATACAATTTTGGCTTCAACAATTTCTTCAAAAATACAGTAACTCGAGTTGGTCAACGTATAAAAAATTAATGTTCAAACCATGAAGTTACCATTTAATCGACTACTTAAAAATATAAAGCGAAAATAAGTTTTTCATGTCGGGGAAGGTGGGGAAAATCGGAACACCACCAAATTTCGCCGCAAATATTTATTAAATAGTTTGAGAAATGCGAACAAAATCTTTTCTCTAAACAAAACCTCATATTTCCATTAGCAGCCGACGCGTGTGCACGTCGCACTGATAGCTCTATGCAACATCGAAATGAAATCAAATTGTAAAAATTTAATATTGAGAATGTCTGTCTGCATTAATTTCACAACATTTTTCCAAAAACCAACTCAGATGAATATGTTCATAATTATCGTACACCATTAATAATTCGACTCACAAAAGGAATTTTGCATGAAAATTCATTGAGTGACCAAAACACGATTATGTTGTAAACCTTATTGCGTGGGGAATTTCGGAACACCCTATATACGAAAATTTGATCAAGTGATTTTTAATTATTTTCAAGTTGATACGCATTTTTTTTGCATATTTATTATATTTCATGCAAAATTTCGACAAATTATTCATTGCAATTCATGCGTTCACTTGAAATGCACCAAAATGATTAACAGCTATTTCACAAGCAAGAATTACAAATCCGACCAAAACCAATCGCTATTTTTGAACTTTTCCCTATTAAAATACTTATCCTTCTGTCATTTTCTAGCTCTCCATCAACGTTTTGCATCAAAATTGTTTCAGTTTTCTATCCATTTATAAAGTGTTCCGAATTTCCCCACCATTTTTGAAAATCGAAAAATCAAGGGTTTTTTTGCCAACAGGTCAAATCATTTCAGCCGATTGGAATTTTTTCAAGCGACAACTCTCAAAAGATAGGTTTTTACACGTAGGGGAATTATGTGTAGGTTGACCCGCACTAATCATTTTAGTCATAACTTTTTATGGAATAAAGATAAATGCACACTTGATATACCATTGGAAACAGAGCCGAAAAGGCTACAATTTGATTAGGAAATTCATTAGCTATGGTTGAAAAAACAAAATATTTCGGTCAATTTTCTAAGAGGTCTGATTTTTGGCAACAAAATTTTTTCTTTGTAAGTTGACCCACCCTATTTTTTTTTAGAAAAACATGCAGTATAAACACTCAATATATGAAATTCATTGAATTTCGTTGGACTTTCAATCGTTTTTGGTCTTTACAACTACGAAAAACAATGAAAAAATGTAGAAAAATATAGAAATAGTAAAAAAATACATATTCTCTATTTTTTCATATTTCATCGATTTTTTCGTGATTTTCAAGTCCAAAAACGATTGGAAATTCATTAAAATTCAATGAATCTCGTATATTGAGTGTTTACGCTGAATAGTTGTCTCATTTTTCTGATTTTTTTTCGGGTGGGTCAACTTACAAAATTGGTCGACATTTCAATATGCACGGAAAGAATTTCGCCATGTAACGATATGTGTGAAATGACTTAGGATTATGAAAATACACGAAAAACTAGTGAAGAAAGCTTATACTCGCTTTGCTGATATCTTTGAAATTGTTCTACTTGATGATGGTCCGAAAAAATTTAGTTTTTATAAAAATGATTTTTTTTTTGCAAAAAATGTTTATGAGCCGATCCGAGCCGTTTAAGAAGCGTATTTACTCTTGGGAACTACTTTTATATTGGTTTTTGACGTTTTTTTAAATCGATTGAGACTAGTCAAATTGACGATTTGTCGGTCAAAATACAAAATCGGTGGGGTGGGTTAACTTACAAAGTGGGTCAACTTACACATACTCCCCCTACTATATCGTACGACTTTAGAATTTGGGAAAATATCAATTTTTTAGCATGATATTAAATTATTTCGATGTGTGTTCCGAATTTCCCCACCTTCCCCTACTTTCAAATTATACAGTTCACTCTTAAATAGAACCGGTTTTTCAGCAGCCATGGGTTTATTCGATATTTTCATACTGGGTATTGTGATGTTGGTTGCAACTATAAACGCAACACTTCTCTCTGGTATGTGGCGTTTTTTTTTTCATAATAAACAATAGTTGGCTCTATATTTTATTCATATTTTCGAAGAGATGATAAGAGGATTCATCTGTTTATTCAGTCATTGGAACTAGTTAAGTTTTTCCTTAGTTTAAATTGGAAACATTTGTTTATCATTCAAAGCAACAGGTCCGCCACATGGAAGAGCTGTCTTGTGCACTGCTTATACACACCTGGGACTCAATCTAAGACAAAACTTTATGGAAAACGCCATCGACTTAGAAGATACGGATTTAAGTTTGTGCACGCATCTCATTTTTATTAGCCAAACTAAACAATCAATTAAAGGTACATCAATTTGATTTTTGGGCTAGTTTTTGGGACCTATCTTCTTTTATTTGCGATTGTTTTATACTTTTGGAGCAGAACCTTGGTTCTCGATCACGTCTGATGATGAATTGGAATTTAAACGTTTGGAAAGTCCACACCGCAATTACCCACACTTGAAGGTAAAGTGTTTGATTGAAATTTTTTTAACACTGCCAAGCTCTGGCTGAATTAGAGGTTTTACTTAACACATTTTTGTTTGCATAATAAAAAATCAATTAAAAACCACTTATCAGTGTATTGGCTCATAATTAGCTTTCATTATGGAATCTCTAGCAACCCACAGTTTTATTCCATTTCCAAAATCAATTCAATATGAATTGCGGGTAATTTTTTCACGATTCTATCGCACGGTGACTAAGGATTTCCATGATCAGGTGTATTGTCAAGAGTGGGTAAAAAGTGTCACGAACTTTGTTCTAAAATATGATTTTAATGAGTTTGATATAGGTATCGGTTATAATAAAACAAGGTTAGTTTATTCAGCTTCTTTAGATCAAATAATTATGAATATCAGTGAAAAGCATTCGGGTTGAAAATCCAGGCAAATCCTAATATATTTTGCCGGTCGAGGAGAGATTTTCCAGAACTAAAGTTCCAAAAAATGTATCAGTACTAAAATGATCAGAGTGGGATTTGGACTTTGAAATTCTAGACTCGGAATAAATCTGACCCACTCCATCGACCACGTCTATTCCGACGACCCAAAACGCATTTAAATAAATTTGATTGTAATATTGTATGCATTTTAGTCCACTTCAGGCGGATGATTTCGATAAAATTGGATTTCCAACGATACGATCTGTTGTTGACGCTTTCAGTTGATTATAAAGAGAATTATTTCAACACATAGTTCTACATCTACGAAGCAAGTTTATTTATGGCCTCCTTAGATGGTAAGTGTTTTGAAAGTTTTTCGGCTATACCTATGCACGATGCTTTATAGATAGCGTAGTATGTACCCTCGAATTCGATAGGTAATTAAGTGAAAACACATTAAAACGTCTAATTTTTTGTTTCTTCGTATATATGCTATTAAAAAGTCATTTATCTCCTATTTTTCCCACTCCTTCTACTTTTCTCATTCAAAATACATACGACACAGCAAAATATACTAATCAGCTTGTCATTACTCTTCATCGAGACTGCATTTTGTGTTAAGGTTTTGAATGTGGTGGATGTATCGGGAGTGAAGTGTTTCTAAATCGACAGTTTAAAATTCAAAGAACGAAAAAAGATGCGCTACGCTGTCATATTTGTCATTTTATGTATATTCGCGTTTGCAACTGCTGAAACTGGTGTGTATAAAATAATCATACAAATAAATAATAATTTTAATCGATAAAATAATAATTCTTATCATTAGATTCGATAATTTCACGCATTTTCACCCATAAATGTAAAAAAATTCAGTTATTTGTATGAAATCTAATCATTTTCTTCTATATTTACGGTTAGGTCCTACACATGGCAAGGCTGTGATATGTACCGATTTGGCGGAGCCATCGTTTGTACCAAGTTTATTTTATCGACTAACCGGGTTGAGTCAATTCGATACGGTAAATCTGAACCTATGCACACATCTCATTTATATGGATGTCAGTTTTACAAGAATAACAGGTATTTAGGCTTTGACTCTTGTTTTAAGTTATTTTTTGATATTTGATTGAACCAATTGTGAGCTTGAATTCAAATTCATATGATTCATATGAATTATTTTGGAAGAAAACTACAAATAGAGAATTGAATAATCGTAAATCGTGTCATGTGTAAATAAAATCTCTTTACCTTTGACAAATGTCTAATTTTACCTACAAATATTTCGTTATAATAATTGTCATAACGTTTTTTTTTTCTCTTCAAATAGATTTCTCGAATCCGTGGCCATACGTAACGTCAGACTATAGCCACGTGCAGATCTTACGAAAAAGATATCCACATTTAAAGGTAGGGATGCTCAAATCAGCGTTTTTAATTACTTTGATATTATCAAAAAGGAAAAATTGATAAATTCCATTCTGCAGATTTCCTTAGGTATTTTAAACGACGCCAACGATCTAGCTAACATTGCATCCGATCAAATCAGTCTCCAGAAATTCATTAAATCGGCACTCGATTTTGTTTTAAATAACAATTTGGATGGCCTGAATTTGTACTGGAATTATTTGGATTGGAATATTTACGACAAATCGTCTGCCAAAGCGAATATTCTGACACTCGTAATGGAGCTCTCCAACAGATTCAAGCATCGTCAGTTATTGCTTACATCGGCTTTCGCAGAACATACGACCGAAACATTTGAGGAAATCTATGACTATGTGGAAATGTCCAAATATCTCGATTTCATGCATTTTAATAAACTGCAAAAAGTTGATGCAATCATCAAATTAGGGGTTCCACCATCAAAAATCATTATTGAATTCAATACCAAAACATTGTCGGATCGAGTGGCTCAATTCATGTTAACTGACTTGTATTCATTTATGAATTCATTTAAAGTTTTTTTGAAATACAATGAAATTTGCGATTTGCTGTCAACCAATGAAGTGATTAGCAAAGTTTATGATGCGAATACCGAGCAGATGGTTGCACACTACGTTGATGGTAAATCGAATAAAATGCATTCCATCAGCTACGAAAGTACATACACTCTGGCCAATAAAACCAGACGGGCAATGAGACATAATTTAGGCGGTGTGTCAGTTAACAACATTGATGCAGACGATTCAAAAGGAAGATGCAAAATTGAAACAGACACTTTCGACGATTTCGTAACAAATTCAAATGTCACACTGAATATACCGATTCGGCGCGATCCCACTTTCCCGCTTTTGAGAACCATCAATGAAGCCATTGTCCTTGCTCTAGATGAAATGGGTCAACCACCAAAACCAATTGATAATAAAATATCAAGTAGAAAACAAAGTAATAACGTCCCAACTTGGGATACACTTCTCGCCAATTTCATAGATAGTTTCTAAAAATATGCCGAATTTCTATTCGTTGTTCATAAATTAATTTCAATAAAAAAAATTCATTCAAATTACAACAAAATTATTTTCTTTTATTCACATTTTCAAGCAATTTTAAATGAATAGGTATGAATAGGTATGAATTGAAGCTAATGGACGACTATAGTGATTTAGGAACGTAATTAGATGTGCATTCTTAATGGGTTCGACTAGACTGAAATTTAACACTAATGCACATTTAATTAACCCTTGCATAAGACATACCACACATTACTTATGTGACGATGTGTATAACAACTCATTCATTAGGAAGAAACCTGAAGTGCGATTTTTGAGACTACCCATTGTTTTCCAACGATCGGCAAGTATGTGACATTATACTAGAATTTAGTAATTACGATCGACGCTACAAAATTGGTTCATCTATACTATATAATGTTACTGCACTATGTTAAAAGTGATCCGAATATTTTAGATTTCTCGATTTCTTTTGGAAATAAGCTTCCATGCAAATTTTCAGTCAACTTTGAGGAGGCCAAACTTAATTCTACCATAATTGATTTGGTGTGGAATCGTTGATAACTCATTCAAAATTCATTTTATTTTTGGCTTTTCCATTTTTCAACGAACTGATTAGATTATTGAGATATTGAACATTTTTGCAAAACAAAAACACAAATCATTGAAATTATAGTTATAAAATTGATTAGAAATCGAAGAAAATGTTTTAAACAGTCCGGTTTTTTCCTTTAAATATGGATTTATCCAGCTAATCTCGAATGCTTCAAACCAATTCTCATTAACGAATTAGCGATGGTTAATCAAAAACTAGGGGAATATCACGCTTAAATTATTTCAAATATTTCAAAAAAATCCAATTTATCTCTAAGAATCTGTCGTATGAAATATGGTGGATATTTGTGAATACGGCGGAATATTGTGGATTTTTGTGATTATGAATGATATTTAAATGTATTTTTTTGGATTTAATGCAAAAAATCTCAAATATCTCCAGAATCCACAAAAATCTGATTTATTTATTCGAAATATTCGAAAATATGGGATTAAATAATTATGATCCGAACATATGGAAAAAACAAATAATAAAACAAAAGAGGTTTTGTTCAAGTATCGCTGATAAAATTGAAGTTCCCATTGTTGTTTGTTCAATTATAATAGAATATACTGTAATTTTAGTACTTGAAGTAAATCACCGAAATGAAATTGTCAAAAAGATATAAAAATCATATATTGACATTTTTCAACGGAAATAAGTACTTTTTTACCGTTTTAGATGTGTATTTGCTTCTTCTTAAAATACGAAATCAATTTATTTCAATTAATTTTATTTAAATGTTTTTGCATGAGTGTATATGACAAAGCTAGATGAACGCAAGTCGACGAACGATAGAACACTAACCATCATATTATTGGAAATTAAAGTATATACTTTAACATTGTTCAGAAAACGTGTGGTCTTTTCTCTCCTGATTTGTATCTCCCAGACAAAATTGCAGCGTGTTTTTAGATTGAATCTTCTTTGAACAATGGTTTAAAAAACAATAAAGCAAACAATGTGAGTCCAACTCTAATCAATTGACAAATTGTGAACGTTTCATGCCCGAAGATAATTTGACGATAAAAGGTGCCAAATATCTTCTGATTGTGACATCTGTGATATTATGGGGTACGCATGTGCCACTTCAAATCACAACAAAAGGGTATTTTTGTTGCGTTAAAAGACAGTAATCATTCGACTTTATTCTGTGCAGTACAAAAGCGATGCAATTCAAATTTTTGCCACTTCTCGTTCTGGTGTTGTGTGCCTTTTCCGTTGGTAATGTTGCACAGAGCGACAACGGCTTGGGAAATGTAAGTTTGACAGAAATCAGAATGAACGTAAAATGCATAGCCATTGAGATTTTATCCATTTCAAATGAAAAATACTTCAAATTTAAAATTAGTATTTGGATTTATTTTATCTGGAGAAACTTCAACATTTGATAGATCGATCATTGAGCTATCCATCCAACCGAACTGTTCATGTTCGTTTGAGTCCGTTCGACATTGAACTGAAACGAACATTAACAAAACATTTTTTTCCAAACATCTTGAACTGAACACGAACGAACTCGAACCGTTTTCGACCGTGTTCGGAATAGATATTACCATGGAGTCGAACAGTTTCGAAAGAACATGAACTGAACTTGAACATCTTCAATGAATATGAAACTAAACATGAACCCGAACGAACAAGAGCATGAATTTTCAATAAAATTCCAATTTGAAATGTTCGATTTCGATCCGTGGGCAGCTGTAATTACAGCTCGATTATAATCGATCGAGATAGATCGAAACAAACCATTTCCAATTAAATTTTAGGTCTTTATTATTTATTAGTCTTGTCTGAATTTGTAGGTTTTCATCATTCTATTTTATAAAAGTCGTGATTTCCTCGCAGGAATTTCAATCTTACAATTTATTCTTTTTCATCTTTTTTTCATTTGGTCAAAAGAATGATGAGTTATCAACAGCTATTTTAAGGCCCAAATACCGTCCAAATCGCTTGAAAGTGGAGGAAGCAGTTAATTATGACAAGTCTATGGTGACATTGTCATCGGCAAAAATGAATGAGCTTAATTTGTTCCAAGCTGATTATGTCTTATTGAAAGGAAAGCGACACAAGAAAACTGTTTGTGTTGTCCAATCCGATGACAACTGTCAGAATGATGTGATCCGTATGAATCGTAGTGTGCGTGAAAATTTACACCTTCAATTGGGCGATATAGCAACAATTCAAGCGATTCCAAAGCTCCGTTATTGCAACCAAGTAGAGATGTTGCCGATCGATGACACCGTCAAAGATTTGGTTAATAATATTTTTGAAGCTCATTTGATACCTTACTTTCTCGACGTTTTTCATCCAATCCATTGTGGAAATACAGTTTCAGTACGTAAAGGGATGCGAACTGTTCAATTTAAAGTACTTGCAACTGATCCGTCACCATACTGTATTGTAGCCGAGAACACAAGTTTGCATATTGAACACGATCCAATTACCCGTGAATCGATTGAAGGACATTTGAATGATATAGGTTATGAGGACATTGGTGGTTACCGTAAACAATTGGCTCAAATCAAAGAAATGGTTGAACTTCCATTGCGACATCCATCACTTTTCAAGCAAATCGGTGTTCGGCCTCCACGTGGTGTTTTGATGTACGGTCCCCCTGGAACAGGTAGCTTCCATAAAAACTTAATTAAATGCTGACCTTGCCTTGATTTGGCAAAATCTACAATTCATATTCATCCTATTGTTTCTTAGGCAAAACATCGATTGCACGTGCCGTAGCTAATGAAGCTGGTGCATTTTTTATCATGATTAACGGTCCCAAAATCATGTCGGTCATGCCTCATGAATCAGAATCACAGTTACGTAAAGCATTTGAAAGTGCGGAAAAACATGCGCCAGCCGTTATTTTCATCGATGAACTTGATGCGATAGCACCAAAGCGTGGCAAATCACGCGGTGAAGTTGAGCGTCGAATTGTATCGCAACTGTTGACATTGATGGATGGATTGAAAAAAAGCGCTAACGTTATTGTTATGGCGGCAACAAATCGACCGAATTCCATCGATAAAGTACTCCGTCGCTTTTGTAGATTCGATCGTGAAATCGATATTGGTATACCGGACGCTACTGGCCGATTGGAAATACTTCAAATCCATACGAAAAATATGCTCTTAGCCGATGATGTGGATTTAAAGAAAATCGCTGCTGAAACGCATGGTTATGTAGGCGCTGATTTAGTATCCATATGCACTGAAGCGGGTTCACAACAAATTCATGAAAAAATGGACTTAATCGACCTCGATGATGATGAAATCGATGCAGAAGTGTTAAATTCATTGGCGGTTCGAATGAACGATTTCCGTTTTGCAATTGGAAAATTCACACCCCCTTCATTCAGAGAAACCGTTGTTGAGATACCAAGTATCAGTTTCAAAGATATTGGCGGCTTGGAGAGCATCAAAAAGGAATTACGGGAAATGATTCAATATCCTCTTCAATATCCAGAAAAATTCCGGAAATTCGGTATGAATCCATTGCACGGTGTTCTACTCTATGGGCCACCTGGTTGTGGTAAAACAATGTTGGCTAAGGCCATTGCAAATGAATGCGATGCAAAATTTATTTCGACCAAAGGATCTGAATTATTAAGCATGGGATTTGGTGAATCCGAAGCCAATGTTCGTGAAATTTTTGATAAGGCTCGTGCAGCAGCTCCGTGCGTACTCTTCCTCGATGAATTGGAGAGTATTGCAAAATCACGACATGATGGCTCTGGAAGCGAAGCTGCTGATCGTGTGATCAATCAAATTTTAACTGAAATGGATCGTTTGGGTGGAAATAAAAATGTTTTTGTTATTGGCGCCACGAATCGACCGGAAATTCTCGATGCGGCCATGTTGAGACCAGGGCGATTGGATCAAATTCTTTACATTACATTACCGGATGAAAAGTCGCGTCTCGAAATTCTAAAGGCAAATCTACGAAAGACCCCACTAGCAATGGATATTGATTTAGCATACATGGCAGAGGCTACGTTTGGCTTCACTGGAACAGATTTAACTGACATTTGTCAACACGCCGTTAAATTGGCCATTCGAGAATCAATCGAAGCCGAAAAAGCTCACATCAATATGAAAGATGAAGATCCAGTTCCAGAGCTCACGCGGACACATTTTGAGGAAGCAGTTAATTTTGCACGTAAATCTGTCAGTCTTAACGATCTCCAGAAATACGAACTGTTTGCTGCAAGATTGAAACATGGCGGTGGTGTTGCTAGAGTATTCCATTTTCCAATAAATAATAAGTCACATGAACAATCAAGATTCGGTGATGATGATGTTTTGTATAACTAAGTGGATATCGAGTTAGATCATACCCAAAAATACATGATATGACAACATTAATGGAACTACTGAACAAAATAGTTGTCTTCACGGGACATAAAAGTTTGTCGAGAAAAAAAAAAGATTTTATTCATACATTCAAATAAAGAATATTCAAATTAAACTTGATTTGATATTTTCTCTTACGTCAAATATGACTCATGACTCAATATGAATATATTGTATTGAATGCATGTGTGACTTTATGCATACCTTCATTATCATTCAATATCAGTACCAAGTGTAAGTAAATGTGTTAACTTTGAAAGGAATTTAAAGTAATTTAAATCCCTTAGCCACAAAGAAATGTTCAAGATATCAATGAATTCCGTTCTTATCTTATAGGAAAATCACCTGAAAAACTATCGTTCTCTGTAGTAATGATGTAGTGCATTGTTCTTTTCAGATAGTGATACATCTAACGCATTCGCACATATTTTTTCACAGAACAAGTCTTATTGCGCATTTTTAATTTAAACTTCACAAGTCATCTTCAGCACAAAAAAATTGAGTGTGTTTAAGATTTCAAGGCATGCACAACGATACATACGGAATGCATCCTAATACGAGCGATCCATTGTGGCTTCATATGATTTATATAATCTTTCTAATAATTTCATTTTTACTTTTATTATTTGGTTTGATCGATGTGTGGCGAAGGTGGCGAGAGAAACGAACCAACGACAAATTAGCTTTTAATGAAGGGAATGATATGAATCAAATATATTCTAATGAATATAAAATACGAATTTGAATAAACAATCAAAAAATGCGGTTGTAATTTTCATACGATTGGATAAAATAAGAAGCTTGATTGTTCGTACCCAGCCTTTGTTTTCACCAAATTTAGAAATTTGTTTCCCTTTTCTCTGAATCATTCTGAATGTTTTTGTCTTCTTCATCGCTGGAAATTCTTACGATAACAAAACTATGTAGAATAACTGGAATTTTTCGAAATTAAAATAGAACAAAATAACTTAAATTCCATTTGGTCATATATTGATAATGGGTCTTTATAAGCTCGGTTTCGCTCTATATGCTTTTGAATTCAATGAAACGGTGTCATGTGATATTGAAACAGTTTCTTCATTTCTGATCCTATTACGATGCGTTTCCTACCAATAGTATTTGTGATTTTAAGTGTTTTTGCATCGAAATCAATACAAACCGGTATGTAAAAAGTCTATATATTGTGAACGCAATCAATTAGAATCTAACATTGGATTTAATGTGAAATATTTAATCACGAAACGCCTGATTTAATGCCTTTTCTATAGTGGATTGTCTTGAGCTGAATCCGCTAACTCAGGTGCATGAAGCGTTAATTTACCATCTTCGCGGTCCAAAATTTTTATTACTAGCAAAGATCCACACTGTTTATCAGTTATACTAGAGTAGATCATCACTTACAGTTAGCAATGAATCTTTTGCACCGTTAATGCGTTAAATTCACGCTTCAGACGACATGTCAGCAATTTCAGACATGACTGCTAGTGTCAAACGTAAATGCACGTAAATGTTGCATAATATTAAACGCACCCATCAATTTTTCATTATTTTCCTATTGAGAATGGATGCGTTTAGTGTTATGTGACTTGACACCAGCAGGACACTAGCAGTCGTAGGATTATTGTAAATTCACTCAGTATTTAACCTTGTAAAATTCAATCTATTTGCAGGACCTTCTCATGATAAAGTTGTAGCGTGTCGATATTTACCATCATTTCCGAATGAAGGTTCGGAAATCAGTTTCGATCTTGAAAATATGGACTTTGATCTATGCACACATCTCATATACACTACTACGGAAGGTGATAGATTTAGTTCAGTTATATTACAGTATTGTGCACTTTACATGAAACAAATATATTGAGTAAAACTGAATGTGTGATATTGAGCAAAAAATTACAAAAAACATGGCTGTATTCCACAGTGTTAATGTAACGTTTTACATTTAATATTTCCATTTGAACAGATTTAACAACAATATTTTCACGTGAATGGGCAGCAAAATTTCTTGAAAATGATTATACGAAGCTTGTTACCATCAAGAACAAATACAACCACCTAAAAGTAAATATATTTCAAATTCTCTATTTGTTATTTTTTCAATGCGATCAAATATTCAAAAATTATTCAGCAATAAATGGTTACCAACACACTTGGAACGAATATATTTGGGCTTCCCATTACAATTTTGGTAATAACTGGAAATTTTCGAAAATAAAGTGAGAAAATGGGTAGATTATAGAGAAAATTAGACTAAATTTTGCCAAAATTGTCCAAAAATTCGGAATTTGAAAAATTCCCACGCCAATGGAAAGTCTATATATATATTATAATAAAACTTAATTTCAATGAAATATCTGCAGATATCGTTGGGAATAAAATTTCGCGGCAGTACATACGAATACCAGCAGATAACCGAAAACACAAATATTGAAAGTTTCATGGAATTTGCCAAGGATTCCCTTTTGGAATATGATTCCGATGGTCTTGACATGGCCCTGGACTATCTAAGAGGGAGGTATTATTTCATGACGATAAAATATTTCTTCTTAACTTCTCGATTCCAAGAATTTAGTGAAAATTTAAAGAAAATCGAAAGAAAAAAGATGATTTAAAATATTTGGAACCTAAGAATGATCAATGATTATCAATTAATTCCTATGATTGATTTCCAAAAACAATTTCCAGTGATGTATCTTATGGTTCAAACCATTTTGACTTCTACGTTGCATTTTCATACTGTGAAAAGTTTCAAAAGAGCTTCAAACCGTATAATCTTTTGCTTACTCTATCATTCAATGCCGAAGCAAGTGACTTAGTTCCGCCTCCCAATCACCAATACATAGCTGTGTATGATGATTTTGACGACTATGATATGGATACGGATGTTGACCTAACGGATCATATGGCTGAAAATTATGCCGCTTTGGCGAAAAACGTTGATTACATCCACTTCACAATGCTCTACAGTACGGATATGAACTTTCATGGCCTCAGCGATATTGAAATAGAACTCAATCAAAACATTGATAATATTTGGTATATAATTAAAACAGTCATCCAATCTGGTGTGAATTCGTCGAAAATCGTTATGGGATTGCAATTTTTTGGATTCAAATTGTCCAAAAACAGCAATGATCATAAACTTGGTGCGGTAAAATTTGAAGAAATTCTGGGCTACAACGAAATTTGTGATTTTCATTCAGAAGTAAAAGACATTTGGCAACCGGGGACTGTTGGTGTATTTAATCCATACACATTGGCGTGCGACGAAGTAACATTGCGTAATGAAAAAAGTTATGTTTTTCTATACGAGAACACACGCTCAATTGCAAATAAGGTTAGATTGATGATGAAATACGATATTGCTGGCATTCTAGCGTCTCCAATTAATAACGATGATTATCGAGGCGCATGCGACATTCCAGAGGAAACTTTCACTGATTTCACAGTAGATCAGGGCTCTTTTAAATGGATCCCACATAGAGACCATCCAAATTTTCGTCTTCTCACAACAATCAACGATGTAATCGTTGTTACTCTGCATGAAATGGACCGAATGCACGCAACTAAAGTGGTTACCGAATATTGTTTTTATATCCTTTATTTATTAGGCGCTATTGTTACACTTTTGGCATTGAAATTCATTACGATCAATTTATGGCGTCGGTGGAAAAAGTGGCGAAACGCCGGGAAATATAAGTCAATTGAAGGAAGCAATGTATGTCTTCTTGAAAATAACAAATCTGATGGCAAATATCCAGAGTAATTTGAATTAAATCCAACAGTTTTGTCGAATACAACGGAGACCAGGAGAGATAATTTAAAAAATTTTCTTTGAAAATTTAATCAATTGAATTGTTAATTGAATTCCATTTGATAACGAAGTTTATTATAAAAATTGTTAATTTAAAGGTCATTAGACCAAAAGTTTCAATAATAAAACAAGAAGGAGGTGAAAATTGACATCATCTCTTCAATTTTCTTCATTTTTCACAGTATGTTCTCTACCTAGAACCTAGATTCATGCCAATTCAAGTTCTAAATCTAACAATAGGAGAAAATAGGTTTCTGAACATGTCAACAAAGAACAATTTTTCATTCTGCGGAAATTGGCATTTTCCACGGTTTTCCCAAAATTGAAAACTCTGAGAAAACCTTCATTGAAAATGGGTGAATGCTCTCATCTCTGCAGAGATGACTGAAACTCACCGGCCGCAACTATATTTGCATGCGTTAAACATGCGACTCTTTTAGAAAATACGGATCGTCCCACCGCTAGAGGTGTCAACGAACATCGAGCCTGTTCATTATTGTTTCTTGACGTTTGTAGATTTTTGCATTGCCTACAAACGAACGAACGAACAAAATTTGACTTTTTTTTTCTCGAACAGTTCATGTTTGTTGACATCTTTACCCACCGCGCACGGCTAGAATCTCAACGCAAACAACACTTGTATATGATCGTGCGCTGAGTCATCTCTGAATGAGTGTGTTCGAAAAAACTTTATCACATTTTTTATTTGGGCTTGTCAGCTGAAATTTCGAAACCCTTTTTATCCATCAGGGATCTTTATTAGTAGCTTTCAGTACAGATATTTCCTTTTTTCAATAAATAAAGAATGAAGATTGAAAAAATTTAATGCAAGTTCTCAAGTAAGTCATTATTTCATGTTTCGGTTCTGTCTCAGACTTACAGCACAACGATAAATGTATATTTTTAGCTCATCGTAAATTCATGAAATTGAGTTTTATCATCGAATTACCGCATTTAGCGTTGAGCTTTGCGCATTGAGCGATAGCACTTTTCGCGTTGGCCGTTACGTAAACAAACATTTAAAACAAATGATAATAAAATGAAATGAAATAATTTGGCGACGTTATTCTATGTGGAATCATCCAATGTCATTTAATGGACGTGGATGTATGGATTCAGTATGGCATCAATAGCAAAAAAACAATTTACAAAATTCTTTCAGACCGATTTCATTTTTAAATCTATTTCACATAGACTGATACACATTGAATTATCATAAAAACATCAGTGAAAATCAATCTTCATTAAGCCAAACAATGATCCAAACACATTCAAAGCCAATTCGGTCGAACTAATTTTAGAGTCAAATAAATTGACATATCAAAAAAAATCGTTAGTCATTTTATTGTTGTTGCAAATTCATCGAATGAAAACAAAACAACTGTGAATTGTTTAGTTATTATTTCGTTTTCTAATCTTATCTACATTTTGATAAAAATGCCTGTTGTGTGTATGATTGTGTTGCTTGTGAATACAGTTCTCCGCTTTGTACACATTCTTATCGCAAGGGAAGTCGTGGTTATTGTTCCACTATATCGTGCACAATGCGTCATTTTTGCACGACATATGAAATATCAACACCAACATTAAATGTGTTATCAAATTAACACGCGCTACTAATTTTTTTCTCTTGCTCTAATCCAATTCAAATTTGATTTAGTTATGCATCAAGTGACCGCCCGTGACTTTGTCATCATGCGTTTCAGTGGAATGCTGTTGATTTTCAGTATTTTAGCGATAGTGACGGGTAAAAAAAGTATGAGGTTTTTGTTTAATTCATTTGATTTTGGCAATTTGGTAGAGAGAAACATTTGTCAAGAGATTTTATCGTAGTTCAACCAAAAATATTTTTCCATGAACTTTTTATTTACCAGGATTTGTTTTTTTTCGATAACAATTATTAACAATTTATTTCTTCGACAAGTAATTCCGTAGGTCCACTTCATGGCAAAGTTGTTATGTGCCCATTTTTCGCAACATCCCTACTCGGCACGGGAAGTGAATTCAATATTGAAACAGCCGATTTCAACTTGTGCACACATGCCATTTGCTCGATAACTTGGAATAGATTACAAGGTATTCAAGTGTTAGTCACGATTTCATTGACTATAATCGATAATAGTGAGGCGGCATTTTTCATTGAGTCGTTCCGATGGCGGCAAAACGTTGAACTGTTTGATTTTTTTTTTTTGTATTTTTATGTTTCGTCGATTGATGACAACGGTATTGGACATCGGTAGATCCGTGGTCAAAACAATATGGAGATAAATTCGATCGGACGTTTGTGAATTTGCGACGACAATTCCCGCATTTGAAAGTTTGTCAATCCATTTTTTAAGAAATCAACATTTTTTTGGCATTCTAATTTTTTTCCAATATGACTTTTTGTTGTTTCCAGATTATTTTGGGAGTTTACAATCTTCCAAGCGGCGAAGAAATCAATTCCATGTACCAGACGCTATTTGTTCAAACGGTTGCCGATTTCATTCGACGTTTCAAATTCAACGGTTTAGATGTAAATTGGGATTATAAGAAGCAAAGGTAACTTTGAAAAAAAAAATTCTATTGGTGAAGTAAAAGAATGAATTCGAAATGTTCGTGAATCGAATTTCTGCTATCTTTTGTAGTGAACACTTACCGGAAGTTCAAAGTCAAATCAAAGAGAATGTTTTGCATTTGGCCCAAAGTTTAAGAAAAGAATTGCATGGCATTTCATTGGTATTTTCATTCATTGCCACAGAAAAAGTTCTGCTTGAAGCTCACGACTATAAAGCCTTATCCGAGCACCTTGATTATATGGATTTTATGGTAGTCGACGATTTCGACGCATTTCAGAACAAATTCACCATAAGCGATATTCTGAAAGCAAAAGGCATTTCGCACTTGGAGCACACATTTGATGATATTGTAAAATTGGGTGTGTCACCGGCAAAAATGTTGATGGGGCTGCCTTTCGGTGGTACTGAATTTAAGAATCTCGAAGATACCACGAATATATTTGAGCTGGTAGACAGCGATTTGAGCTACAATGGATTTTGTCATTTGTTATTCAGCGACATGCAATCACGATGGAATAGATTTTATGACATCGAAAGCAGTTTGGCGATGTCAAAAATGGAAAATAAAGGAACGGGAGAAATCCGTGTTATAGTATTCGATAGTAGCCGTTCAGTGGCGAACAAGATAAGCTTGGCAGTGCAGAAGAATCTAGCTGGCATCAAGACTAGCCTAATTAATACGGATGATGCAAGCGGATCATGTGCATTAGACCAAGATACATTCGACGATTTTCCATTTCAACTTATCAATATGACCGCATTGAAGAGACACGATGCCACATTTCCTCTTTTGAAGACGATCAACGAGGTGATCACCATGACTACGCCGATAATACCCGATGAAACAATTTCTGCTTATACCTCGGAAAGTAGTACACTCTATGTGATTATTGTGATTTTCGTAATTTTTATTCTTATTATTTTAGGCTTAGTGGCAGTTGCTAGAAAATTCTGCTAATAAATGTTTTTTTAACCAAGAAATGACCTGGTTTTTTAAATGGCTGCTTACAAAAACGTCTAAAAATAAAACAAAATCGTCTAAAAAAAATGACAATTTCGTCTAAAGGAAATGGTCTCTTTTTTCAACAAATTCGTCTAAAATATATTTTTTTAAATGACAAAATCATCTAAAAATGTGACAATTTTTTTCTTAACAAAATCGGGTTTTAAAATAACAAAATCGTCTAAATACGAGTATTCTGGCAAAATTGACAAAAACGTCTAAAACCCTCCAAAAACGTCCATTAACAAAATGTTTATTTTAAATGACAAAATCGGTAAAATCACGGAGGACGATAGTCCGACAAGTGACGCTCCATAGACTGTGCATTTCAAGCCAAATATTAAAAATGCCAGTTTTTGCGTCACGAGTATATATAGAGTAAGTATGCTATTTTCTCAGGGCACTATTTGGGCCCCGGCATGTTAGGTACCGTTGGAAAGGTCTTGGCCCAAATAGTCGGAAACACCATATCCCCCATGCCTTAAGTGTGGTCTAGGCAAAAATATAGCGGTTGGAAAATTTCGATAAATTTTCAAATCTATACCCATATCTTACGAAGGGGGTACGCAGGGGATAGTCTGAGGTGTTCAAGAGAAGCTCCTCTTCGCCACCTTTCCAACCCTGGTCTAAGTGCCCCGATTGGTCCAAAAACGAAAAAGTTATGGGCATTGGCAGTTTGGTCTTGATTTTCTATGAAAGTATTGATTTGTGCGTCCGTCCGTGTGTCCGGAAACTTTTTTGACCCCCACAGATTCCGGTGTCGATATGCCCAAGTTGTAGCTGGTGTCGGGCCACATCGAAACCCGTCCTCAGATTGACATTTGCATTACAGGGGAGCTGGCTATGGCTTCACTAGCCTGCATGTATACGATTTTTTCAAGTATTTATCAACACACTAGATCAACTCAAACACCCATCGGGCAAACTCAGCTCGTAATTATTTGAGAAGACCTTCAAAAAGTTCCACATACACATGCCAATGTTTATCTTTATGTGATATAAAAGAAAAAAGTCCCCTTAAATTTCGCACCAAACGCGATTTCTCAAAAATCAGCCCGACAATCTTTTACCAAAAACTGAGCGTTTGTAGCCGGCTACCATACCCAGAGCATTGAAGCTGCTGCATATATATTTGCTGCTGGTGAACAGATCTGTTCGACAGCAGCTGTTGCTTGCGTGCATATTCGCTGTGAAGCACGTTTGTTCATGTATAGATTCTCGCTCATAGCTGCCGTTCGCGCCTCGTGTGATCTGTATGCTTCTCTGTCTGGTTCCGTGTGAATGAAAGAGACAAACATTGTGCGCGAGAATCGATACATGAACGAACGTGCTTCACAGCGAATATGCACGCAAGCAACAGCTGCTGTCGAACAGATCTGTTCACCAGCAGCAAATATATATGCAGCAGCTTCAATGCTCTGACCATACCAACAATATGGCATATGCCACATATCCGGGAAAATTCGTATTTCGAAGTTCTGGGCATAGGCAATTCATCAATGAACGGAATTTGTACGAAGAGTCGCATTCTACGATGAAATCAAAAATACTGGCTAAAAAAGGCTCACGAAAGACCATATCTGCTCAATTTTTGACGAGCAATCGATTAAAAGTGGTCACAATGCGATCTGAGGCCATTTCATGGTCGAAAAATAGGTCGGATTGAAGTGAATTTTTCAACTTGCTCTATTTTCACTGAAAATGACATTTTTGTTCGAAAAACACGTGAAATAGACATCTGACGACATTTTGGTCTTAAAAAAACTGCTATTTTTTTATGAAAATAATGGGAGTCCACGAACGCTTGAATATCCATTTCTTTGTCATTTTGGTCATAAATCGGCATTTTGGCATCTGAATGTATGATATTGAACTTTTGCTCGGGGGATACATAAAAAATGCACTTTCCGGAGCTTTGGTGGTTGGAAATTTATATGTTTCAATGAGATAATGGGTCTAAAATGACTTCAAAACTCTTTTAATGGATATTTTGAAATTTAATCACATTTTACAATGTCCAATAAGGGGAAAATGGGACTTTTTTAAATGAAGGTGGAAATTTGCTATTTACAAAACTTGTGAAATGTGGTTGCAAATGTTTTACCCGAAAAATTACAATTTCCCAATGATAAGACCTTAAAATAGACATATTTCTGGCAAAAGTGTATTTTTTCCGAGAATAATTGCCTTACAAAAGTAGTGATATCAGATGAAAAACCTCTAGGCGAGTATAAATAGAGTGACGCTCCTGTGCGTGGATTTAACACTCAAAATGACTGATATCATTTTGACTGACGCTAGGACGCTGGTTTATCTCTGTATACAAAGTTTAAAAGTATTTTTCGCATTCACTATTGTGAAAATTTACTCACAATAAGGAAAAATATCTTGCGTCACGACTTTT